TATTTAAGTAATTCACCAACTGGTTTGGTTTTCTATATCTGTTTTTATTGGCTTCAAAGTATAGCTTAGTAGCTGGAGTGTGGTAGTTGTGATGCAATGATCTTTGGTTTAAATAGAATCCAAAGGATTTTAGAAGACCAAAAATACATTTAATTTGGAAAGAGGAACAGATTATGTTATTTTACTAATATTTTAATTATTATTGGTTTGGATTAATTCATCATACTTTAGGTTTTTCATAGTTTTATTTGTTAAAATCTTTTTAGACAATACAGGTATTGGCAGTTGTAAGATATTACGCATATCTGCATAACATCTAACTACTACAAATAAGGCTTAATCATCTGTTCTTGATACTTCTATCTTGAATCTGTCTTTCTCAATTAAATGGTCTTCTATCAGCTCCTCCTCTTCTTGTTAGATTGAAGTGGGCTTTTTTCTGTGGCTTTTTACCCTCACATGAAATCTTAGTAATATGAATAATTTTCCAGAGTGACTTACTGAGGAAAATCTTTCTTTGAGAGAATGTAGAGACCGGTTTCTCCCACTAATTTAGCCTTTAGCTGTTCAAAAACAGCGCAGCTGTCTATGATTTGCTCAGCAGTCTCTGGAGCACCGCAGCTTGGGCATAGGAGGTTGATGCCCATTCCATGGCTATGAAGCTTTGCTTGTAAGCCCCCATGGCCTGTGAGAAATTGCAAGTAGTCCAAGCACACCCAATCTGCTTCTAAATGTGACTGGATAGTGGAGAAGCATATTCTTAAAGTAGATCCCTTTTGGAATTATCACCTGTTGCTGGTTCCACTCTTCCATTATGTCCTCTTGAATAATTGGTTTCCATTTACTGGGGCTATCATCAATTCCCACCTTAAGGTATCCCAACAGACCAACTTTGCTTATGAATTGAATAAATGTTGTTTTTTTTTTTACTGATCACCCCAATTAATCTTCTCTTCGATTATTCGCTACAGTCGTAAATCCATAATTCTGGAATAAAAATAATTTAAAACAAACTAATAATTTAAATACATACCTAATTACAATCTTTTGGAAACAAGATTGATAAAAAGTAATTTAATAGGCAGAATTCAAAGGTGGAAAGGGTATGTAAACTGGTTTTGTTATCACAAGGCATGGCTCACATGACATAGTCGATGTCTCAATGTGGATCCTTGCCTTAGAGTAAAAAAAAAAAAAACAGGTTTATCGAAAGTATTTCCAAGAAATAACATCAGGCTTACATTAAAGCTTTTTCAGTTCAGTTTACCGTTTATTTAATAGTTGAATGAAGTAAATTTCAATTTTCAATAAACGTAAGTGCCGTTTTGTCACACGTTTCCTTTAAAATTAATATAATAATGTTTGAAATTTTCGTATGTAATAATTATTCTCTGTACTCTATAATCCTGTTTTTTTCCTCTACAAGGTGTGAATACAAGAACAATAAATTCTTGAAATATCTCCAAAATATAGTTGTTTATTTTTTGGCTGAATCTTCAGGGAAAATGTTATTTCACAGGCCAAAAAATATATATGAATATACTTTTTTTTTTTTACAATATTAATTAATTTCTGTTTAACTATAATTTGGATGTCTCTTGCGATTAACATTATAAGGAAAATCCCAAGTCTACAAATAATGATGTCTCGATGGGTGTACTTAAATTAACTCAACATATTGATTTCCGTTGTAGTTATATTAAATCAAATATTTATCTCTCAGCCACGTTATCTTATCTATTTAGCGCCAGCTATTTATAAAAACTCTTCATCCTGCAGATATAAAATTATCATTATAATCCAATTTATTTTCTTATTTTATTCCAATGTTTAGTAAAAGGCTTTACCTTAGGTTTGATTAAAATTTAAAGTATGCAGTTTCATGAACCTGGATTAGAACTTTTTATATGTAACTGTGATCACATGTAATAATAATAATAATAATGACCTTTATTTATTCTCAGACTGATGTATTTAGAATGTAGTAAATGACAGAATTGATGGCTTTAAAGCCTCAGAAGTAAATAATAAAAACAATAATAATAATAATAGTAAACAGAATAAATAAATAGAAATAATAATAAATTATAAGTTAGCTTCTAAAATAATTTAAAAAAATAAATGTGGAATAAAAATAATTGAAAAGAAGATTGGTTAGGGTGGTCAGTCAAAAAAAAATTTTAAAATAAATAAGTATATTTATTTTTATTTTTGCCGACGTTTCAGCCCAAAGTTCAGGTCTTCATTAGGGCTAAGAAAAAAACAGATAACATTAGGTATGAGAAACTATAACATTAAAAAATTAAAAAGAAATATAATATTTAGGTGAAAGGTATAGCCTAAAAAATGTTGCCCTGATGAAGGCCTGAACTTTGGGCCAAAATGTCGGCAAAAATAAAAATAAAAATACTTTTTTTTATTTTTCTGATCACTTCAACCAATCTTCTCTTCAATTATTCATTACAGTCATAAATCCACAATTCTGGAATAAAAATAATTTAAATCAAACTAATAATTTTCATACATATTTACTGAAATGTCTAATTACAATTTTTTGAGAACAAGATGGATAATAAGTAATTTAATAGGCAAAATTCAAAGGTGGAAAGAGTATTATAGCAACGGATGTAGGAAGGGATTGAGTTCTATTGGGACATTGATCGAATAAGCTGTCGAAATCCGCAGTTACACATAGCATACCATCTTTAAAATAAATTATTGATGATTTCAAATAAAAATTGTCCACCAGGTTCTAGAACCTGATAAGGGTTTATCATTCTCTTAAGCAGTATTAGATAGAGTAGAAGCCCATAGCTATATTAATACTAATACTATAATGTAAACAACTAATAGAATGGTATATATGTATTATTTAGATTATTGCATATTATTAACATTATGTTAGTTTTATCTTGTTTGTGATTCCAATTCATGACTTGTACAGGAACAATTTATAAGCCAGTAACCTATAGGCTACTTCAGAGATACTGTACCAAAAATTAATTAATTTAAAATAAATGTTTAAAAACTAATATTATTAAAAATAAGTTAAAAAGCCATGAAAATGATTACTGTAAGCAGTGTTCTGTTATAGGATTTTTCGGATGGAAGTTATATCAGAGTTTAAAGGATAGAGAAAAAAGGCGGGAAGAAAAGAAAAAGTTGAAGCAAAAGAAGAAGAAGTAATGAAATCAATTTCTTTAATGTAAGACTGGAGAAATTGTTCACAAATGTAACCAGAATCAAAATGGAATATGGTAGTCTCTGCACAAACTTATTTCAAATCAATAAGTTACTACAACGAAATCAAACAAATAATCAAAATGATAGTTAAAATAATTAAAATGCTAAATGGATAAGAAAATTTGTCGCAGAAGCTATTATATATTATAATCAGTCAATTAGAAGGATGGTTAAATACTTTTTGAAACTATCATAATTATGAAATGAAATTGTTTATTGCTATTAATAGCTTCCATTTCGCTTCCTTTATTGTTCGTATTTAAAATATTTTTAACATCTATGTAATTTTGATGAAAGTTGAATTTTATATTAATCGATTATGTATTTATAACAATCTTGAACTTGTTTTGAATTTTAAATGAATTTCTTGATTATTATGTAGCTTCCTATCAAATGTTCTAAGTACTGTTTATATAAGTATTAGCTTACTTTGTGATTTACATGAGTATACTTGATTTAATTTAATTTTTCTAGCCAAATATATATTTATATTTATTTTTTTTTTTAATAATTTATATATTTATTGTATTTCATTTGTTGCATTGTTTCACATATAAAATCGGGCCTAATTTAATGTTATTTGTTTAAGGATTATTTTAGAATTGTTTTAAAAGTATGGTAAACATGCCATGGTGTGACATTCCATTTTGAAATTATTGATAAAAAAAATTTTACATCACATTCCATATATTTTTTATGTTAGATTACTATGTCTGAACCACTTACTCATAGTTATATTTATAGTTATTTTTGATAATTTATATAATATTATAATGTTGATTTTTAATTAAAAATTGTTGTGTTCATAAATACTCTAATATTGTTGAATATTATTTTTCTAAATAAATTTGGGTGTTTCTTTGATTTTGGATCTTTTTATCTCCTTTGATGAACTGTGAAAAATTATTCTTATGTCTATTGTTTCATGTGATTCATTATTGACCCCTAATTTAGAGATTTATCCTTGTATTATATTGCAACTTATTTTAACAGAATTTTTTAACAGCACTAGTGAGATAAAGTTGATAGCTGTATATGATTATTCTCAAGCGTAGAAGTTTATTCTTAAGCATAGATTACGATGACAGTTTCTCAGCAATGTTTATCGCTTGACAAGAAGTGTAGAGTACACTTATTCTTGAATAATTATTTAATGTAAATTCCTTTTGATAATTATTGGTAACAAAAATTAATATTATTATAAACAAAATTCTCATTAGTCTTCATAAATAATTGAAGAAAGTTTATCGACTATTCTGCATATCATGGGTGATAAATATTCAGGACGTAGTCATTATAAAGTTTTTATTGGTGCCGACATTTCAACCCAAACATGTGGGTCATCATCAGGGGTCAGTGCTCGAAACACGTCCTGATGATGACCCACATGTTTGTGTTTAATTAAACATCTGCACCAATAAAAATTTTATAATGACTGCATCCTGAATATTTATCACCCATGATTAGTCTTCATATTTAGATATTTCATCTCTTTAGATGGATATTTTACATACCATATCTGTTTTATCCTAAGTTACTATACCTTTTGGGTGTTTTCTAAACTCCTTAATTAAATTTATATTATGCTTTTTCATATTGTTTGAATCTGCCTAAAGATTCAAAAATAAAAATTTAACTTTTTTTAAATTAAAAAAAAATGTTTCCTGTATTAGACCTCTTTGTTTCATCATATCAAAAATGTTCAGTTTTTATAAATATTATTAACAGGAATGATAAACTATTAATAACATACAAATAAAAAATATTAACATTTTATTACATTTAAACATCACAATATGGTGTAAATTGAAAGTTCTATTCAATATCATTTTTTTAAAATAATTATTGGTAACAATAATTAATATTATTTACAAAGTTCTCATTAACCTACATATTGGAAGTTCTTCGTTGGATATTTAATACAACTTAACATTATTTAACAATAAAAATAATTAATATTAACGGATATAACTGATGTGATAATCTAATTTTCTCTGCAATTAAATTCATTTTTAATTTAAACTAAATAGAATATAACGTTAGTATCAGATTTTAAATCAGGGAAAATATTTTAAAATTTTGAATTAGTGATTTAATCACTATTATTAACTCCTTATAAGAAATGATGCTCCAATAATATATATTTACACACCTTCAATTTTTTTTTTTTTTAAGTTTTGTTAATTTTTGTTTCTTGTTTTCAAATAGAAACACGACGCAACATTCTCTTTTTTAAATTTTCATTATTTTTTTAAGTTAATTTGTTAATATAAATAAATAAACTTCATGTCCTTAATTTATCAATGCTAGAATAGAAAATATAATTGAAATCAAAACCCAACTTTTCTGTAATCTACTGGAATCTCCTTTTAGATAACCTTGAAATAGTGCTAGAAAAGAGATAACATTGAGTTAGTTAAATATCATAATAGTAATAAATATAAAAATATAAATCATAAAAATAATGTTTTCTCAAAAATTATCATGAAGTATAATTTTTGTTTTATGTATTCTATTTACAAAGTGTGAAAAGAATAATAATATCAAAGCAATGTGATCCTGAGATAAATTTGCTTCTTATTCAAAGCTTAAAAAAAATTCAAACATTTGTTTATTTGTTAAACAATTTTACATGGTTAAAATATTTTTCATTTCAAATAAAATATTGATTTTTATATTTCATGATTTTATTACTGTATTATCTAAAAAAAAAAAGTTGTAAACACTATCAATTAAAAAATTTTAAATTATTGTAACCATAAAGTTACAAAATTTAAAATATTTCAAATGAATATTTTATGGTTGTGTTCATTTCAAGAAACTGAAAAGAAGTAGTCTCTCACTCAGCCTCACTAATTTATGAGAGAGATTTGTGAAGGTCTTGCAAAGATCTTTAGGACAAACAGAAGATAAGCACCCTGATAGAGATCGCTCTACTTTAATTTAAACCATTACCATTGGGAAGTTGATGAACAATTTCAAAGTCCGAGCTTGAACAGCATAGACCTAAGTTGTATGGTTGTGGATGGTTAGTCAAATTATCTTGGCACTTGTAATGAGGCGACCTTCATGATTTAATTGGCTTTTCTATATTATTATTATTTACATACCTTTCTTTTGTTTTTACTGTAATTTTATAAGAATGAATGTGGTTCAACGTTCCTAAAATACCTGTGGATTTTCGTATGGCTTTCTGTGATATAATATTATTGTTTAACCTTATGATAGCTACTAGAATTAAAAACAGGATGATTGTTAAAGTCTTGTAAGTTCAAGGATTTTTTTTTTTTTAATGCTACTATATTATAAAATTTGGATTACTAACCAGAATCCTCTTCTGAAGTGACCCATCCGATCATTTTTTCATTCCTGTTCTGCACTTTCAACCACAATAGTAGTGGTTTAAAATACTCCAACATAGGTCGCGCATCTAGTTTGTCTGTTGCTCCTCTTGTAGCAAGCCTGAGAATTTCCGGCCATGATCTTGATGCTCCGATAGACATGATATCTCTGCATTTGTAAAAAAAAAAAGGCAATGTTTATTGTTAATTTAGTTTTACTTATTTAAATTATCAGATGTGAATAGCTCCATGATTGTAATATAAAGCTTTATATTCTTTAGCTCAAATCTCTTTGTAAAATTTTGATGCCTCTTTGAAGTTCAATCTTTGAGTCTCATGCCGACCTTTCTAAACTCATGTAACCAAATCTGTTTAGGTGATATATAAATCAAGTCTTCCCCCTTTACTTCATAAATTTTGTTAATGGTATTCATAACAAGATAACATTATGATAATTATTTATACCATTTGTCAAACTGATAACTCAAAATAGACATCTAATCCAAAGAAGATGAAAACAAAATTAGTACATAAAGTTGTTTTATTTAGTTAATTCTTTCAGAGACTAAAAGGAAAAAATATACGAACTTTGTTAACATCTTAGTAGTGATAAGGATACATTTATTCTTATTTTTTTAACTAGATTTAATGTGAATATTCCGTTATCCCAAAGATGCTTAAACAGACATAGCAGTGGCTATTTGCCAATTATTAATAAATAACTTGTTTAATTCTTGTAAGCAATTAATAAAATTCCTAATCATCATTTATTATAAACAGTTATGAATGTGTTCTTACGATAATAGTCGTCCAGCTTCTCTTGATCGGTATATGTCACAAGTGTGTAAAGTTCCTATGTGTCCTGCAGCTTGACACAGTGCTTCATAAATTTGAAATTGCAGAATCAGGCTCACGTAATACCTGTAAAGAATAATATATTAAAATTAATATAAGTGCAATATATTATTGATTAAAAATTGAAAGTAATACAAATAATAATATAAACTAAAAAATCTGGTGCACGCACACACGACTTTCACTTACCAGCCTCTTCTTTGAAGAAATAAGTATTTCAAAACAAAGGGGAAGTGAAAGTAAAAATTACAAATGCTATATTTATTTACATTTCATTGTGGATATTTTTATTTGTTTAAATACCCTTATATAGACAAATTTTAATTTTTATATCGCTGTATTCTATACAATCATATATAAAATAATACCAACGATAGAATTTATAAAAACTGCATATGTATATGTTCATAATATTGTCGGAGTCCTTATTATATTAATCTCATATTACATATGGAAGCCTGTTGTAATCTTGGGGTGAGCTTGGGCCATGCTCATATTCCTTTGGTTCTTCCATTATAACTATTATCCGTTACGATCTCTTATTTCTCCTTTAGTTATTTATTAAATTCTTTCATATTTGATATTCAACTATTTGTTGTATCATAGATTAATGTAAAATGGTTAATTATTAACCATTAAAAAACAATAACAATTAAAAAAAATTAAAGGTACTTTAGAGGAAGCTAATATTGAAAATTAGCCATTTAAGCTCTGTTAGAGAACATCAATGAGAATAAAACCTACATTATATTAAAAACTGCTTAATAATACAGTGATATACTGAGTTTAATAAAAATATTTAGAGCCGTTTTTGAGAAAATAGTAAAAATGTGTTAAATCGATTATATAAAGTGCCACTTCCAGTTTGTCGATTTTGACGAAAAAGTTGCTGGGACATCCAAGGATTATAAAAATCTCAAATATGCTATTTCAGTTTTGTATGAGTTCTCGTTTTTGAGGTAGGCTGTTCACATACATACTCATACACAGACCATTTTGTGGGACTTGGTTATTTGGACTCAGAGAACCTCAAAACGTGTATTTCCAATGAAAACTCAGATTCAAAAATTTCAAGATCACAATACTTACCCTTACTATATATTAAATATATAATAGTAAGTGAAAGTAAAAAAAAAGTACAATATATGTACTTAAATAATATCTATATCCTTATGTAATATCAAGATCACAATACTTACCCTTACTATATATTACATATATAGGTATATTACTATGTTACATATATTAGTATAGGTATGTTACATATATTACTATATATTACATATATAGGTAAGTGAAAGTAAAAAAAAAGTGCAATATAAGTACTTAAATAATATCTATGTCCTTATTAATTTTTTTAGTAACAATAAGATTCTAGTCCGTTTTCTAGAACTATCATAACTGGGCGATGGACACTATCTATTGGTCCAAACAGAAATTATAAACTAGCGTAATGAAGGAATCACAGGGTATTAGGTCTTAAAAGAAAAGTAATGGAGAAATATTTAATCAAAAAAAGGATTGCTGGGTCAATCGAATAATGTAAATTAACTCCCTTGGTATGTTATGTATTCTACTTTTGTATTTAAATAGTTATATTGATCAATAGCGCCAACAGAAAAAAGAATTATTAAATAAAAAATGTAAACGACAGAATCACGGCTAGACAAAATACAGCAGTTTTTTTATTAGACTTGGGGTGGAATGTAATTCTAAGTTGCATAATTTAAGTTTTTATTGTAGTTTATTGGCTTATATCAGGAACTTTCTCTGACTTCAATTTGGGAAAAAAAATTGAAACAATAATTATTATGGATATCAAATTCATCAAGGTCGAAATAATTAATAATATTTAGTAGTCACCTAAATGCTTTTATTCGTAATAAAAATTTTTGACAAACTAATTGCATTATTGCTTATCTTGCTTTGTATAACATAATCAGATAGTTTAATTGAATATTCAATTAATGGTAATTACCTTAAGTATGGCTGATCTGATATGATGTGGTATTTTGAGCCAGGATCGAAGTCATTTTCAGATCTTGGGATTGGTGGGATAACTCCCTGATGCCATGATCTCAGTTCCCACCAAATTGAATTCATAGCTTTAGTTCCTTCAGAAAATACTCTCCATCGCCACTAAAAATGATGATTAATAGTTATTCGATATTCTGATTTAGTTAAGTTTACCTTTCAACATATAATGTAAGCAACGTCTGGTGCCTAATGTTAAAGGCCAGTCACTGCAGTTTATTAAATTTAAGAATTTCTATATAATGTGTCATACTCATCAGGTTATCTTTTTTTATAGAAAAAAGTCTGATAAAATGTCAAGGTATACTTTTTTATACTAACTACTGTTTTATATTAAAAAGGAGGTATTGCAGGAAAATTCACTTACAACCCCAGCGAAATTCATTTTCATTTGATTATTAAATTTTAATCCAGGATTTAATTATAAGAAGCAGGGCTTTTTTTTTTTAATGTTAATTACTACAAAAGAAAAATGAGAAAACGGTTCTCACCTATCATCAATATGAAATGATGTTTAAGTGATTCTTGAGCGTAATGACAAAAAAAAATTATATAAATATTTTATTTGCTTATTTGTATAAATAAATAAGGACCAATTAAAAAAAAAAGATTATTTTTCCATTTTGGAGAGCTTTAGTCCTGTCCCATAGATTTTTGGTGAGCCAATGATCACCAAAAACCCCGTTTATTTCCTTTTTTTAAAAATAATGTTTGAGCTATGTACAGCCATTTCCAAGTTTATAAAAACATATTTCTGTCAATAAAATAAAATGTTTCAAATTTAATATATACACCATTTTATGATGTATAATTTATTTCAAGTTTGTGAAATAGCCAAAACATTGTGAAAAATAAAGGAAGAAAACTAAAAGAATTTTGTTGCTGATGATTTATCCATCATTTTAATTGAAACATATTAAGGCACTTAAGGTAGAGAATATTATTGAAAAATTTTAGTTTAATTTTTTTAACTTCATATCAAGGTTTATGTGTTATCAAAAAGCATTAATGATATTCATTCAATTTTATCAAGTTTTTAAGATGGTTTTATAGTGTTTTTATACATAAATGTTTAACCATGTAACATTATGATTAATCTTAACTATATCAATTTTACCTGATCAACTATGTATGCAAAAGGAAGATATGCCACTTTGTCTAATGCCATTTCTAAGAGGAAATTAACATCTGTCTCTAGAAATAAAAATTTAATGATAGTTAAAAATGATTACTTCTATTATTTTTTTAGTTTTTATTATTGCTTTTATTAAAAAAAAAAAATTGACGATATCAATAAATCGATTATGTTACCATAGTCATCTGTTATGTTATTAAGGAGACCAATTCTATGCATGTGCTTTGGAGTAATCACTGATAGTCCAATGGCATCAGCAATTGCTTCGTGAAAAGCTGATAAAGAAATAAAAAATATATTTATAATCAAGTGAAGCAATTTAAATTAAATCCTATAACTATAAATTCATAAGTTTACCTGGGTTAGCTCCGTCCCTAAAAAGAATAGGAAGGTCGGAATAGTGCAGGTAATATTGAATATGAGTCATTTCATGGTGGGTCGTCAGTAAATCTTCCATAGTTACCTCTGTACACTGCTTAATCCTATATCAACTAACTTTAATATCACAAGTGTATAAAATTGTGTTATTGGTATTCGATAATTCAATTTATATTACAATTAGTCTCTGTATTTAAAAATAGTATTCCATAATTCATTATTTATTGTCTTGCACTAAAAGTTTGAAACTACACTTCCATAAATTTAATAAATAGTATTTTATAAGATCAATATTTCTGGAAATATTTCAAATAGATGAAAATTTTTTAAATCCAACACCTATCATACCTGTAATCACGCCTGTTGCAGAAATCCCATGCAGATGCCTTACATGCAACATGTCGATCCCCTGGACGCTCAATTAGAGATTTGTGCCAGAATTCTAAAGGCATTGGCTTTAGCCCAATCGAAGTAAAGAACTCTTCTGCTGTTTGAAGAATTCTAAGGGGAGTATAACCCTGGCGTAGCATTTCAGGACTAACGTCAGACCTTCTTTTTCCAACAAATGGAAGTACTAGATCCAATATATTTTTCCAGTTTTGAGCCCACATGTTACCTAAAAGATGAAATATTTTGTATTTAATATTTTACACCATATATTCCCAAAACATATTTAAAAAAAATAAATACTTGGAGTTTTGCAAGGTAAACAAATTATTTCTTTTACTACTAGTTGCTCTTTACCTATACACTAATTGCCTAACAAAACATAACTTATTTATATAAACATAACTTATGTTTTACAATAGCAAAAAATAGTTCCTAGTTATTAAAACAATCTTAGGAAGACAGAGAAAATTCCAGAATGGCTATAGTCTTTTTGACCCTTCTTCAGAGCCTAAAGTTTTTTAATTAGCCCTAAAATTTTATTTGGCAAGAGAGAAAATTTCAAGATGACATGGAAGTAATTATATTATCAGCTATATTATTCCTAGCTCTTATGACATGAATTTAAACTAATAACATATACTAAAGAGTATAAACAATAAAATTATTACCAAGAAGGTGAGCAGGGATCGGTGCCGTTGGCTGTATCCTATGTGGAGGTGCATAGTGACTACTCAACTTTGTTCTTACATAGGCATGCAGTTGTCGATAAAGTGGCGCCAGTTCTGCCCATGTATCAGTCACTTGTCTTTCTATGTCGACTCCTGATCCATATGTAGATCTTTCCTGCTCTCCAGCATCCCGGAATCCTGTTATAACATTGTATAAAATTTATTATAATATTAAATATTTTGAGAAAATATTTCTTATTTTTCTATTGATTTGCATATAAAAATGGTTAAAGGCCTTCATTTAATGATATTTCAATTATTGTTCCTTCACAAGTAGTAAATAAATTACCCTTTTATTTTATAAAATATTGTTTCTAACTTGGTATGGTGTGGTTAGTGAAAGAATATGAGCATTTTTATTGTTATTTTATTTAAAACTGTTAAGCAGAAAATATATTCAGGCCTTAGATGTTATCATTATGTAAATTTACAAAACTCAAAAGCCAGTTAATATAAAATTTAATATTTTCATCTGTTTTCCTTAAATTTAATATATATAAAAAACAAATAATTTCACAAACAATATAAATAAATGTTTAGGTTTTATTTTATTCATGTCTCAATGAATTTAATTATAAGTTGTTTCATTTACAATTTTTTTAAGAATAAAAAGGAATTTTTAAACAAAATCTTTAATTTTTTAAAATATAAAAATAATAATTTCATAAAAAAATATAAATAAATGTTTAGGTCTTATATTATTTCATGTCTCAATGGATTTAATTATAAGTTGTTTCATTTACAATTTTTTTAAGAATAAAAAGGAATTTTTAAACAAAATCATTAATTTTTTAAAATATAATAATAATAATTTCATAAAAAAAATATAAATAAATGTTTAGGTCTTATATTATTTCATGTTTCAATGAATTTAATTATATGAGAAGGAGTTGATCAGGGGATGAGGTCAAATTAATTTGACCACACCCCCCGATCAACTCCTTCTCATATTATATCAACGGTCAACCATCTCTACATCATTATGAATTTAATTATAAGTTATTTCATATACCATTTTTTTAAGAATAAAAAGGAATTTTTAAAACAAAAACTTTAGCTTTTTAAACTTTAAAAACTTACTTCATTCCTTCCATAAAAAGAAAAACCTGTACCACTACAACCCATAAAAGGTCTTAGATTTAATACCTTGTAAGACAGTACTGTTTCAAGTTTTCTCAACCATCTAGTTATGTATTCAAATCCAGAAACTTTAGAATTGGAAGTCTGTGACTTACCCATTGAGTTACCCCACTCCCTTCATTCTTTCTATACCCTCTTTTATTTTATTTTTCCTTCCATACCGTGTTTTATTTTTGTCTTGTTGAAAATTGTAGCGAATTGAGTTCAAATCGCAATGCATATTAGCCAAATTCGTGTTATGAAAAAACTGAATGATATGTTGTTTACTTCTTATTTTAGTGGGTTATCTAAAGATTTATGCATTTATTCCATGAGCTCACTAAATAATAAAGTTTACGGGTACTGAACTCACCTAAATATTGTAATTTTAAATAGGATTTACATCTAGAATGTTTGTTTTATAAATTTTTAAACCATTTAAAAAAAAAGTTGAAAAAATACCATTTAGCCGAGCAGCTTCGTTAGCTATCTCTGTGTACCGTATATATTTGTCCTTTAGTTTTGGTCCTGTCGCATCCCTCCATGATCTCCACGCATGTAGTTGTTCCTCATAACTTCTGGAATGTGCCATTGTACGTGTCAAATCTGAATTAACAAAATATAATATTATAATTTTAAAGAAATAAATTATTGAATTGAGCTCTTAATTTTAACTTATCCTTACTCCTGTATGAGCTTTTTGTAACTACGTTCTTTAATGGACTTAACTTCATTATATACTCACCTTAGGCAAGAAATAATAATCATTTTACAGATAATTAACCCTATTTTATCCAGATTGAGAATATCCAAAGTACCAAATAATTTATTTAAGTTTTAATGAAAAATAATTTGATTGAAGAAAATATTTTAAAGCATTTCTAATCAATAAATTATTTATAAAATATAACTTTAAATAATTTATTAATGAAACAAACCAGGGTATAGTCTTACTAAGAAAATTATCGTTAAAAATTCATGCTGACAATAAAAGATTTGATTTAGTTTATTTCTTGGTTCCTCTACTACATTAAAGTTAACTGTTGCGGATAAAAAGTGAATCTGCATCGCTTCTTGTTTAAGTATCTAGGAGAACTCGTTCCAACTTATTCCTAATTTTTTGGTAGTTAAATTACTTAATTGTTATTTTAAAAATTAAGGAATTACTTGGAACAAGTTCTTCTGGATACTTAAGCCAGAAGCGATGCTGATTCTGTTTTTATCTCCAACGGTTGACTTTAATATAGTAGAACTTCCATTAGTTTAATGAAAACCATTATTGTAACCAATTATATTAGTCATTATCATCAGATGCACCCCTTACCATTCCTACCTGCAGCCATCAAACATAAATGTTTAGGAAGATTTTGTTCAACATACTTTTAACATTCTAACTTGTCTTGTAGGGCGGAAGGTTTTGTTCAGAATGCTTAGACAATTGGTTTTCATAATTAATGGTTATTTTAGGAATGTGATTTCGACCCAAAGTAATTGACATTAAGTACTTGCTGAAATAAGTACTGTCCAAATTTCAAGCACCATTCAAGGTTTTTCTCAAATTAATGTTGTCAAATGCTATGTGTGTTATTATATATATTTTCCCTAGTTGGAAAATATACTAGTGAAAAAAAAAATGTTGTATGCTGCTTTGTAATTAACCATCTATGGTGTTTAGGAAAATAATAGGGAAGATAATTTTGTAGTATGTTATTACATGGAAATTATAAAAATATTGCTTCTTAACACCAATCACTGTTTGCATACAGTGTTGCTTTAAAAAAAAATGAGGATATTGTAGAAATGCACAATAATTAACAAACTGTGTAGTTCTATATTTTATAACATCTTGCTACATTAAGTTTAAAATTTATCTCATTAACATTTATCTAAAATTAGTATTTACCTGGTTCTAAAGTTAAGTCACAATATGAAGAGATCACATTCGAGAAAGGGCAAACTCTTGCTTTGTTGAATATTTCCTTCATTTCCTGAATTATTCGGGACAGCTGAAAATAATTATTCTTAAATTAACTATTACATCTTCTATATTTTGTTTTATTATTTGAAAAAAAAAATATGGTGTGTCCACTCACATGACTTTCCTACTAATTTTTGATAAATTTATGCAATTTTAAATGTGTGCATTAAAAAAACAAAACTATTGATTTAGATTAATATACCTGAAAACAGATAAGAGAAATTATTGGAGTAAGATTTCTTTGATGAACTAAAGCAATGAAAATGGGCAAGTGAACCATTATTAAAATCAGCATAGAAAATTCAATACACTGTAACTTTGATAAAACTAGTTTGATTTATTTTTAGATTTGTAGGAAATTTAATACCCTTTTAAAAAATAGCCTAAACATTTTGACCCTATCTCAATAGTTTCCTTACCTCATAGTGGTCGTGGCGGAAACCACACAGTAGCCATCAAGGGTTGTCAAAAAGGACCACAGATAGGACCACTTGCCAGACTAGTTCCTCCACCAGTACCAGTAACTAATAGTGGTAGGGAAGTAATAAGGAAAATTGAAAACGCTGTATCAATGCTAATACTGGTTAGATTGCAATGAAACTTTTTTTTTTTTTTGTAATTGAATTTTCTTTCAAAAATTTTTATATAAATTTTAGTATAGAACATAGACTTTGTTTGGCACCTAAAATATTTTTCATTTCTTTATAACTTTTTCTCTGAATTTTCTCAATGATTCACTACATGAACGAAAATTGAAAAGATTTTAAGTAAAAGATTATAGGCAAGTTTGTTCAAAATCATTAAGAATGATTTTAGGCCTATAGTCTTGGGAGAAACATGTTTTTCTCATATTGTGCTTGGAGCGCCTAATTTATTTCACACCACTTCTTAGTCAAAACTCCACAAAACAAAAAAAGGAAGCAAAAAAATTGGTCCACTTAATCCTCAGATAACTTTTGCATGGACAGACATACCAGTGGCTGAAAATGTTTTTTGGTTTCAGAGGGGCCTGAAACGTATTGAACCGTAGAAAACCGCATATTGGAATTTTGACCCGATCGTAATCCTTACCTTAGTAGTGGTAGGAAAGAAAAAAATTACATAGGGACCATTTTTTAACTGTTTTTACATTTTACAAAACTATTGAAACAGCTACTCAATGGTTTCTTCATGTTACTGACTCGACCCTACCCTTGACTAGGTTTTCCATAACTTTCGTGGTTCAAGGAATCAGTGGTGGATTTAGGATTAAGGTCTCCACCAAAAGTTTCCTCTCCTTGTATTTGCTAGTTCCAGGCATTCATCCTGTTCATGAGAATGAGTGCTCCATAGCTTCGCGACTCCATCAAAAAATGAGATTTATACCTATATATCTATGCTTTTTCAAATGAATACATATCTTAAATTGTAATAGAAATATTCGTTTATCATTGACAAATAAAGATCAGTAAAAGAATAATTGAAGAACTTATGAAATGGTAAAATCAAGGCAGAAACATTTGTAATAACTGCACAACAACCTCTTGTTTTTTTTGTCATTGTATTTGTTAAAATTATTTTGTTGAGACCTCCAATGTTTTGTAAGCCAATTCAGCCTACAAATACCTCTAAAAGAACGAACGACATCTTCCATCTTGCTCGCCATCTTGAAGAACGCACAGATACTATTGTTTACGACCAGATAGGACTGACCCACATCTGTAACCAGCCAAGTGCGGCGGCTCGAAGCATATTAATGATTCTTGAATAGCTCACCACTAATTGTCTTTAGTAGGGCACCGGGTTGCGGAAGATGAAGTATCTCCAGCTAAGGATCTTGGAGAAATGGCGGAGTTTGAAAAATACTCTTCCAAAAGTCAGGATCGGGGTATATTCTTTATTCAGTACTGAGATAAATCGGTTGATTGGCTCATAAAGTAAAATATGGAATACGAAACGATTCCGAATTCACTCTCCATTATGTTTTCGGTTCCTTCAGTGCTGACCATCTATGTCCCGTCTACTGCCATAGTGTCTCTCTTCCCTTCCCTTACTCAGCACCGACCTCAAGGCCTTCGCTAACTTGGCTGAGCTTGTGGGGTGTCCGCCACTTTTTGGCAATTATAAAAATTACAAAGCGTATCAGATGGATTGATTTAGTATATATATAAAGCAATTGAATACAAGATTTCTATTCAATGAAATACATTTAAAAGTATAAATTATTATACTTTACTGTTTTGGAGTGGGGGGGGGGGGAGGGAGAGAAGGAGGGAGGTTCATAATGCAATGGTCTGGGGCGCCAAATTTCTAAGACTGCCCTAACTCAACCCCTTTTAATTTCGCCTCTTTTCATAAATGAATCATTAGTTTACGTTAGAGCTCACTTAATGTAGTTTATTTATTGATTTTGCATTCGACCAACTAGGAAATTTTGATGGAGTTGGATGAAGATCTCGTAGAAAAACAGATAGTTACTTTTTTTTCAAGATTTTTACTCCTCAAAATATATGAAAGAAAAACAGTTATGTCCCTGTAAATTATTGTTCGAAATTTCTTTATTAAAGTTTTTCAGACAATCTTATTTTTCTCCCACTATCTTCATATCATCTAAACTCTACTTTCAAGGAGTTTTCTTCCATAGATATTAGCTCTTAACATCATCAATTACTGTGTGAATCACAATTATTACTCTTTGTTTACATTCTGCTATTTTCTGGATGTCATTATACTTAAATGTATTTATCCAAATTTTAATCCTTTTTATGGAATTTTTTTTTGATTTTTGTTGTTTATCCATTGTTCCTTGGGAATGGTGTTTTACCGCACGATCGGCCATCATGGTTCCGTTCAAATTTTTTATCTATTAAATTAATTTATTATAAGATTTTCCACTGGTAATTGGACAATTATTGTTCCTGGCGGGTAATCACAAGTTTTAATCAAATAACACTACCCTGCAAAAATGTGCTAATTAATTACAAAAAAAAAAATGGTTCACGTACCCAGAGGACATGCAACTTTAATTATTTCGAGAAATTGTCCATACTGTGACATCGCCCTGAGATAAGGACAAGAGGCAGCCTCCCGTGACACCAGGATCTTCAGTTTGTTAGTGCTCTTTGCTTTGATGAGGAAAACCTCCCGTCAGGAAACAAAATAACTACCAGCCAGGAAATATTATTATTTGGAGTATATCAGTTAAGGTATTCTCTTTGTAGGTATCAACAGAAAGGAACTTTCATGGAGAAGTTCCGGACATCCATCTTGAAAAAAAAACTTATTCAACAAAAGGCTTTAAAAAAATTGGGGCTGTATGTATTAATGAGTTCTTTTTTATTTATTTATTTTTAGGTTGTTTTATTCTTATTTATTGTATATATTATTTTTCTGTATAATTTAGTTTATTTATTGTACATAGAGTGTGAATGTGATCTCTGAACACCATTATAAATGTTCTTTGAGACAGATTGTAATATTTTTCAATAAACAAAATTTAAAAAAATAATTTGGGAAATTTCAAAAATTGAAGGATTGAAATGGATTTGAAAGATTTTGATGCGGACTAATAAACACGTTTCGGTGATGTCGCTTATACGACTGCATTAGAGAGGGATAGCTATATAATGTGAGAGTTCTCACTGAGTATGCTGATTATCAATATAATTCTGCAAGCAATTAACAGTGCACAATCATTGTATACACAATTTTATATATAATGATAAATTTAGGTTTTATAAAGAACCAAATTTATTCAGAGAATACTAAAATCATACATCAAATAGAATGGTTGGGTAAAGGCTTTTATGATCTCTTTTTTATTTATATATATATTTGTTATATATATATATATATATATATATATATATATATATATATATATATATATATATATATATATATATATATATATATAATATATATATATATATATATATATATATATATATATATATATATATATATATATATATATATATATATTTAAATATTTTTATTTTATTATTCTTGAGTTTTAGTATGGCAGAAACGTACCCGTTCCTTTAACTAAAGAAATGAAGAACGCCAGTGTTTTACTATTACTATTATCTCTGAAAACATTGGATTTGTCCTACATAGAATGTATGGAGGGTTGTTTAAACTCAAGGTTATGCTTACAGATATTTTTAAAGGAAGTGCTAACTCAATTTATCTCTTGACTTAGTTTTACAAACCGCAGGGGTGCCCAGAACACAGGCGTCTCTATGAGGGGAGGGAGACGGCTTTCGGGCTGAAGTCCTCCCCAAAATGGTAAAATATAATCATGTTTTACAGAAAAAAATATTAAAAACTATCTCTTAAAGTGTTCTTGTTCGTGTAATTATATTTAATAGGATTTCAGGAACCACTTAAACACTATTTAATATTTAGGTAGTTAATTTCTTTCTTTTTTTTTTTTCAAATTATTTATCGTTGTATTTATATGAACAAAAAAAACTTCCGGGCTGAAGCCCTCCCTTCCCAAATTAAATCATGGATCCGCTAGTGGTGCCCTGTAGGAGGTTTCATAGCGCAAGCTGTGCCATAAAAGTTTTTGAGGGGGACACATTTTGATGGGATTTTAATTTTAGAGAGATTATGTTTTAAGGGAACATACGGGCGGAATTATGAATTTTCGGAGTGATAAGTTTCAAAATAGAGAACTAGGTGGAAAACACGCTTCCGACATAGCTAGTTTAATTGTATATGATCGAAATTTTTTTTTATTCTGCCTTCGCTTGCTCTGTTTTTAAGAAGAGGAGAGCAATGTCTTGAGAGGGTAGGGTGGGGCATTCATGCGCCATCGACCTTGGGGAGAATCAGCCCCCTGATAAACCATTTTAAAATAAAGAAGATATTGGAATTACCTCCTGAAGTTTCGGATCACTAAGAGCACTTCTACTCCTTGTTGCAAGAAGTTGCAGCTGCTTCCTGGTCATCTGGTCCGGCAGTAGCGACCAAGAGAACTGGATGGCTTTCTGCCAGGACACCTTCTCCAGTTTGCCTTGCAAGCTTTGGAGGTCTATCTGAAATAGAGAGGAAGTTGGATTTGAATTCGCATTGCTCTTCTTTATAAGATGTAATGTGAAACAGTATTTACAATTATTGGTCTAGTATTTTTTTATTAAATAGATTTATACAATAAGTATTTAGCTCTCTTGCTACATAATAGTTTTATAGAAACGATATTATTAAATTAATAAAGTAAAAAGAGATAAAGAGTGTTCAAAACTGTGTAAGTGTTAATGACATCTCTGAAGGATAGATGTACATTAAAATGTCCACTTACGTTGAGGATGTTACGAAAAATTTCAAGGAAATTATACACTATCTGCAATTCGCCGCCAAGTTTCCACTATGAATTAAACATATAATTAAAAGGAATTTTCGCAATATCTATCATTATAGTGTAATCTAAAAAAAACACCTCAAATTTAAAACAAATAATCAACTGGATAATGTGTTTAGAATATCAGCTTATGGTTGCAATTATGTCATACAAAATATTATGTCATCGTTTAACTGCTTACATTAAAAAACATTATCAACCTTCAAAAAATATAATTCGTATTGATGGGTAACTATGAAATTTCAGAAATACTTTTTTATTTCTAATCTTGAATAATAATTTCTGAAATCCTTTCCAAAATAACTATTTTGCTATGAAAAAGTTATATATAAGTTTTCATTGTAGTTATATATAAAATATTTAAATCTCATAGTATTTATGCATCTGTGTAAATAAGTTTATTTTTTTGGGGGGTGTTTATAAATATATTTATATATAATATATCGCTACATTAGAAGAAAGTCCGTATAAAAATACATAATATCTTCATAATAGTCTTATTAAAGGGCAGCAATACTGAAGTTTTACGTTCATACCTGAAGATCCTGTCTGACAAGCCTTCTTAATTAATCCCTTATAATCATTTCCAATGATCATTGTTTTCTTACAATTGAAATTAACAACAACATTACTTTTGCTCCAAAATTATAAGTTGAAGATACTTCATCGATGACAAAATCAACGACTTTAAACTTCATTAGAGTTAATGATATAGAACTCAACATTGAATTACCGAAGAGAACCGAAAAGAGATGAAGTTCATTAATTACTAGGGATGAAGTCGGTTGCACCTTTTCGGCTGGTTAAGCAACGTCGAATCATCCTCTTTTCTCTTTCTTTTCCTTGTTACGGAAAAAGTTTTTTCATCTCTGGATCGTTACTGTTCCACAGTAACACTTCGCTTATATCACTTTCTCAGTTTGAAACATAAAAAGTTCCGGGCAAAACCAACTGTTGAACAACTAATCCAAAATTTACAATTAACGCCTTAACCACTTGTCAAAGCTCATTGGCTTAGAAATTAATTTGTTATATGTAAATAATTTAAATTTAGCATGTAACTATTAAGATCTTTGTACTTAACTGCTCTGATTAAAATTGAGTCTTTTGCAGTTAGCTACGCCAGTTATTTTTAAACAGCAAAAGTATCAGTTATAGGAAAGTATCAGTTATATTTGAATCAACGTTGTTGTATTTTATTAAATAAACATCTGTTAACAGATTAAGGTTATACTCCAGTTTGAATAAAGACGAGAGAGAAGCCTTTAAGTCTTATCAGGAAGCTGTAATTGTCCCTAAGGAGCGCTTCTGTAATAAAGGACACCTAATAAAGCTCGTAGTAAGAAATGATGCTTATGATAGGTGGATGAGTTAGGCATGTTCGAGGAGAAATGAAAAGGGAATATGTACCCTCCAATATTTGGCTTAAATCATACAAGATTAAATTTTAACCACTTCCGTATCCCTGGTGTGAGGAGTACATTCCAAGTATTAAAGAGTTTTGGCCGTGGGAATAATCTTTAAAAAAATGAGAATTAGGTTAATTATAATTAAATCATTCGATATCAGGTTTTTCTTTAATCATGTAAAATAACAGGTTACTATTAAAAAATCCTTCACACATAGAAGAAAAAAATTATATTCCCTAATTTTGAAAAATGTATGTATAGTCTTTATTATAAAAAAATGTCTACCATGTTGAGTGGATATAGCTTTCTCGCCATTTTTATTGGCTATATAATTAAGCATATTTCAAGATTTATGATTTGTGGTTTCAGAATAAAATCTATAGAAAGTTTAATTTAATTTAAATATAATCGAGTCAAAAAAGAACACACGCCGAAGTAGATGGAATTTGATAACAAAGATTTTGGGTCAGAAAAAGTATCAGCACTAACAATATATATAATAAAAAAAAAATCAAATCGAACTGACTGTTATATAATGTATTATGTCCGCCTTATGAGTACGACTGCAGAATATAATTTCAATTAAATTTTCAAATACAATTTAAAACCTTATAACCGCACATTACCATTGAATTAACATAAATTCTTTTCCACGTTTCACAGCCATTATACTCTTAACAATTAAGTACATTAATTTTAATTGTTAAATGGAATTTGATAAAATTTACATTATACTATCCGTAAACTATTCCCAAAATTAACACCAATTTCGGAACAAATTGCGCATCAGTAAACAAAAATGCTTTTTAAAGTAAGGGATGGAATTGATATATAGGGTGTCTCAGTTCCTAACGGCCAAGCTCTAGAGGGTGATTCTAGACAAAAATTCCAACAATAAAGTTCATTTGATGCATGGACTGATACCGAACGGAAAAGGAGTTAAGACTACTTTTTTGTTTTTCTTAAGGTGGTCATGTTTTTTATTGAATAAGAAGGAATTGCTCAAAAACTTTCCAAGACAATTAACTTCTAAGTACACCATCGAAAATTAGACAAAATTTTATTTGAGAAAACTGATTAAATTTACTAAGGTCAATGATAAAAGGGATTTTTAGGAGGTCTGATGCTACTCGGGTATGGGTCTGTAACTGAAGAAGTACAGTTGCCGTGTTAGACCTGGAAGTTCCTTTTATCATTTACCTTAGTAAATTTAATCAAGGTTTTCTCAAAAAACATTGTGTACTTTACGATGGTTACTTAGAATTTAATTATATTTAAGAGATTTTGAGCAATTCTAACTCCTCTTTCGTTCTGAATCGGCCCTTACATCAAATGAACTTGTTTTTGGAAATTTTGTTTAGAACAATCCGTCAGAGTTTGGTCATTTAATGGAATTTGATAAAATTGACAAAGCAACATTTGTTTTTTTCATCAATACCCAACTTTTCTCCAGGTTTAAGACAAATCATACGAACATCATGATATTTAGAAATTTAAGCTTGCCCCCTCCCCAAAAAAAATATATATATATCCAAGCGATGTGAGGGCCAACTCACAAATCTTCGAAATTCCATGAAAATCAGATAAACGGCAGACAAAAGGCAGAACCGTCTTTGATTCTTGATATCTAAAACGTAAGACACGAAGAGAAGTAAAAAGTATTAGGTATGTATTTTATCATTATTCCATAGACCTTAGCCAATGTATTAATTACTTCATTATCGCACTGGGTGTTTTAAAACAATGGATCTGGGATAGATGACAAGTAACAAGAGATTGGAGAGAAAGTGTAAAAGCAGAATTTCATGGCGAGGTACTTCCACCTGTCTCAAATTTCTATTTTGAACGGTCGCATTAATTCATCAATTAATAATTTAGAAGCTTGGACAATAAGAAGGGAGACTTCGTAAGAAAATAATGAGATTTCGCTGGCTTAATCAAGCCAAGATACCAACACTTAGTCAAGCTAGTCGATGAGTAGATTATAATTTGGATAGTTTGAGAAATGTATGAAGAGTCCTTCAGAAGATTTAGGATACTTTTAAGTATTGTATTCTTACATAAATCATATAAATCGTAATGTTAGTCGGTATAGGATATATTTCGTGGGATGCTCATAAAGAATTCAGTCTAAAAATTCAAAATGGAAAAACAAAAATCAAAATTAGTTACATCTAATCTACATCAATGAATAAAATATATAAACTAAAATCGTTTAAAACATTTAGAAACGTTGACTAGATGACTTAGCAAAGGCTAAGAAGTAGGTACGCAAGTATATTATGACCCCCTATGTTTCGTCAATAAAAAAAAGTTTATATTTTAAGCCAATATTCTGTTTTACGTGAAGATTTTATTACAATTTGCGCGTCAAATTTGAAGCAGCGAAGAATTGAGAGTTCGTCTCACTGCCTTAAACCTTTAAATAAAACTTAAAATATGTAATATATTCAATTGCTTTCTAAACACATTTTCAAATACACCCATACGCAAAAAAACAAGTAATATATAAACAAATCTGTAAATATATTGGTTTATTTTTTTCAGTAATCAACCACTGTGATCGACCAAAAAATTCAAAGACTTAACCCCCTCTCAAAATTTAAGTTTCACGTTTCAGGACGCGTAGAATTCGAAAAACGAATAAAAATTATTTTGTCCGTCCGCCGTCCGCGCATTTTCTCCGAAACTACTGGACCGATTTTTTTCAAATTTGGATATAAAATCAGAGGTCACCCGAGGACGATCCTCCTTCACCGACATTACTATCCGCATTTTACTTTCAAAATGGCGGCCGAAAAACCTGCGTTGCTATAGACTGTAGCTCCAGACGAATGTACCGATTTCAATGAAACTTTGCTAAAGTCATTTTCTTGACGCTATTTAAATTTATCTATATAATATATTTCAACGAAAAGAAGCTGGGAAAAAAGTTACAAGGGATGGTAAAATTTAATTCCGAATAACTCAAAAGTATACACTTTTTTGTCAATATTGTTTATGGTTTTTTAAAAGTTTACGGAATTTTCTAAAAAATCGTTGGAATCGGTTAATTTGGAGAAAAGATATGGTCTCCAGTTTTTTTATATGTTCTACTCCAAATGTTATATTCTTTGTTTGGTTTTTAAATTTTGAATGTGTTACTGAAGTAATGCTATTTTTTTTTAGCATATTACTAATGATTAAAAGTTTAGTCCAATAATTGGAATCACCTTTTATTTATTTTTCTTTGTAACTAGGAAGGTAATGTTACTTTAGATGTATAGTTGTTTGGAAATAATAAACCATTGTGAGTGTTTTTTTATATATAGTATTATATTATTCGTTGTACAATGATATGTTGATCATCACTCATGATTTTTATCCATATTAAGCCCCCGAGACTTTTTTTTTTTTGTGGGTCCATCGTCCCCCCAACCAGAATGAAATGTCTGCGCCTAAATTTTTTAAGTATAAAAAATTATTAAATGATCCTATTAACTAAATATTTCAATTATAATTTTACTTAAAGTGGAGATATTCTACTTTTGCTTTTTGATTGTAATGATTATATAAAAAAATTTATTTAATAAGTTATTACCATCCTCCTTTTGTTGTAATCAGTGATGTTGGTGACGTAGGACCATTGTGCGTCGGTGACCCTGGTGCACATCGCTGAGGCCTCTGCATCGTACTCCCTCAAGAATTGAATTGCTTCTTCCAAATTTGTATTTATTCCCTGAAAACCAAAGACTATATAAGTATATATTTTTTAAAGATTATTAGATATGGAATAGTAGTTTATTTTCTAAACTGTTTTATTCAGCACAAGAATATGTTATAAGAAAATTAAATGAAACCATTGCCGTGGGTGGAGTAATATCCGGACTAAGAAGTGATACCATCTAATTCTACTACCGGCTGAAAGATGAGTAACAGTGGAAGAAAATAATGCAATACGCTTTAAAGAATAAATCTAACGAGCTATATAATCATTTAGCACATTTATTTTCAATCACTAACTATTATTTTATTGAAGATCGATTATTAAAATAGTATCGATATATCCCATAACATATCCTGGGTTTATTACAAAAACTCATTCAGCGACATTTCATAACCTTAAATCGTTATCAACATTGATGAATTTCCTCTATGCTAAATCAGGATATTGTGCATTTGTTTCTGTAATTTTGGTGCATTCCTTGTGTTTTTCCATCGATGAATAATGTCGACACTTTTAAAATGTTCTTAAAAGTTCAGCTCTATCAAAATGTACATAGTGGTGACTCTTTGCAATAAACCGATGATATTTAAATTTATTCTTGATTTATGGCTCTTAGCTGTTAAGTTGATAGCGTACTATCAAAAAATAGTTTATTTGGTAGTATTTTGGTAGTATGGTGTATTTTTAAATTATTTCTAAGTTATTTTTATGAGAGTAGTTACCTTAGAGGGATCTCCGTTTAAGTTTGCTAGGTTTAAAAAAAAGTGAAGTTAGAAGTATTAGTGAAAACCCATTGATGAAATACTTCTTCCGGGGACGGAAGAAGAGATTTGTATGCTGGATAGTATCTGGAAAATTAGTAGACATAAAAGATGGGGAAGAAGAGGTTGAGCAATAAAATATGAAGGATGTGGATCTACTTTGCGTATATAGCCGAAAATAGGTAGTGCCAAACAGAATAAACAACTATAATAATGGCAACATTACAAAGGGTTAAATTATATTGTGAAAGATGGTATTAAAAAACAGTTTCATATTGATAGAAAAAAAATCTTTCTTTTTTTTATGGCGGGAGCAATATTTGTCGATTGTTCTTTAACCAATTACGGAGTGTTCTTTAGCCGATTTTGGATAACCCATAAACTTTTTACACAAAATTTTAATTGTGGCTGTGTTATTAATAATGATATATTAATTTATTGTATTACAACTCAAAATATCTTACTCTCTCTCTCTTTTTCTCAATATAGGGTTTCTCAGTTTTTAATGGCCAAAACCCAGAGGGTAATTTTAGACAAAATTACCAACAGAACAGTTCATTTGGTGCTTGCACCCATTTCGAACGTAAAAGGATTTAAGATCAATTATGTTTTTTTGTTTATTTTAAGGTTGTCACGGTTTTTATTGAATAAGAAGGAATTTCTCAAAAATTCTTCAAGATAATTAAATTCTTAGTTCACCATCGTAAAGTAGACAAATTTTTATTTGTTTGTTTGTTTATTTGGGCTTTGAGGTGTAAAACCCTAGAGTCATCAACGCTGTTTGTTCTTTATTTTTGTTCTCTGGAGCTCAGAAACTCCTCAGAAGAAAAATATATATATATATCCACACACATGAATATATATTATATACATTTCTATATTCTGTTATATAATCGATGAGTTTAAAGGGAATTTATAATTGTATTTATATTTGATTCATCATTATTGAGGGCATGTTGGAGGTGGTTGTTTATTGATATGGTATAAATGAGTCAAATTTGTATGACCTATTCTCAAACTAGTTAAGGCGACCTCTTCCCTGTGAAACGGTTTGATGTTGCGCAGGGCTTTACTGATTTTTTTATAACTTTAAACATGCTTTTTGGACTCTCATTCCAAGACTAATTTTTTTTTGAGAAAAAAGTGATTACATTCACTAAGATAAATGATAAAAGGTGCTTTCAAAAGGTATACTAATACGACCACTGTACTGATGCTAGACTAGCAGTGCTAGTGTTGCCCAAATGCGAGACCGAGACGAGTCTTGGTCTTGAAAACTCGGTCTTGGTCGTTGACTTGGTCTTGCGCAAGAATCTCGCAACAGTTACTTATTAGCTTATTACTATAGATATATTACTGTATTTTTTTAAATAGGAGAAACCTAACTAATCCCCAATGAAAAAATATAGGAGTTAAATGCAAAAGTATATTGGTTATACCAATTATTAACATATAGTAACTAAGATTGTCAAGTAATAGTAACTATTTTGCCTTAATTTTTATTTAAAAAATCGATTTATTTTACCTGTTCTGGTCTTGGTCTTGCAACAGTTAGGTGACAAACTGCAAGATAATTAAATTCTTAGTTCACCAACGTAAAGTTGATAAATTTTTATTTGTTTGTTTGTTTATTTGGGCTTTGAGGTGTAAAACCCTAGAGTCATCAACGCCGTTTGTTCTTTATTTTTGTTCTCTGGAGCTCAGAAACTCCTCAGAAGAAAAAAAATAAATAAATAAATATATATATATATATATATATATATATATATTTATATATATATATATATATATATATATATATATATTTATACTCATACACATATACATATATATTTATATACATTTCTATATTCTGTTATATAATCGGTGAGTTTTAAGGGAATTTATAACGGTTGAAGTTTGCAAGACCAAGATCGATTTTGGGCAACAACTAACTGCTGCAGTTACAGTATTCACACCTGAGCATCACAGTTCGTTTCATCATTGACCTTAGTAAATTTAATCAATGTTTTCTCAAAGAATATTTTCTCTACTTTAGGTGTACTTATAATTTAATAATATTGAACAGTTTTTGACGACCTTTAGAAAACACAAAATTGGTCTTAACTCTTAACTTTCCGTTCGGAATCGGTCCATGCATCAAATGAACTTTTTTGTTGGAAATATTGTCTTGAATCGCCCCTCCTTCCTCCAGTGTCTGGTTATTAAGAACTGAGAAACCCTGTATTTATCTATATATAGTTTGTAAGTATGATGTAAAATGTCTGATGATTAGATTTAATCAACCGAGATACTGTAGAACAACATGATGAGATATGGGAAGGAGGAGCCCAAGATAGGTATAAGATCCAAATATACAATATTATTTATGTAACAGGGATAAATAACTGTGTCAAATGCCGCTCCTAGCACAAGGGCCAATTCGGTGAGTAAGGAATTTGGTTCAAGTTCAGGAAATGGGCGGGTCTTCCTTCCATTGTCCCGGAGGATTTAGGTGATGTCCTAACTACTTCCACCGTGTCTGAATTTTATTACAACAAGGTTTATTGATGATGGTTAGTAGCTAATATAATATATCCCAATAATTTTGTAGGCTAATGAATTTCTCGATCTTGTGATCAATTTTTTAAAAATGCATTCAGTAAACGTGAACAACAGAATATAATAACATGGAACCACTTGTTGAGAAACTAGTCCCTGGTAACACTCTAAAAATGTATTTACGAAAGGAGATCTCGAGGCCATCTTCTTTTCAGACGCCTCGGAGAGAAATTATCTTGCAACTCAAGTGGAAAGGAAGTGTTCATGAGTTTTTAGCACCTCATTAAATAGAGAAAAATTTATCGATCTCCAGATTAAAAATGTCTCCTTTTCGAGAATTTCCGTAAATATATAATTTGTAAGTTATGAGATAATACCATTCACGAGGGGTTTTAACTTATTAATGTATTCTGAACATGACGTTAAAATACAATATCAAATAATATTATATTTAATAATACAACAAAAATATATTATAAACATATTCTATTTCTGAGCGGAAAGCTTAGATGAGCTCAAATCTTTGTTGCAATAGACTTCCAAAATTGTACTTGCACAAATGTAAATTTAGAGAATAATGTTTGTCAAAAATTATATAATCATTAATCGAGTACTAATTATCATTGTTGACAAAGTTTAATGTATATACGTTTGTATATATATATATATATATATATATATATATATATATATATATTAAATGGTAGAAAACACGTGTTTATGCATATTAATGTATACAGTGCCGGCCTTCGACATTCGGCGCTCCCGGGCAATGACTCCCTATGCAATTTATTTTTAAGCTGTTTTATAGAAATAGAAATAGAAAATAAACTTTATTCTGGCACGATGTTCTTTTAGAATAACAATAATGAACAGTTACAAAAGAAAAAATATATATAAGGCCAAAAACTAACTTAATAAAGATTCAAAGAATATATACAACAACTTAAATAATAGTATTTAAATTACTAAAAAATAAAAAAAAAATTTCTCACCTATATCTCTCTATATGTATGTAATATTTGAATTTTATTTCATTCAACATTTCTTTAATACAGTTGGTTTATTTATAGGCCAAAATTAATTATTTTAATTTCTAATAAGTGGTCATGCCTAGGTATGACTTCGTTTTTATGTTTTTAATTTACTTTAGATTTTATCCTTAGGTTATTTTATTTTTTATTGTGCATAGTTTTTGGTTATTATTTTACTTTTATATTTTCTGTATATATGGTGTGAATGTGTTCATATACCACTGTAATTATTGTCCACGTGACAGATTACTATATTTCTAAATAAATAAATAAAATATAAAAAATAAATAAATAAGTGGTAAGCGACCCTGAAGATCGGGCGGTGCCCCCAACGTGCGCCCCGTGGCGATTGCTACGGTTACCCCACCCTAAGATCGGCGCTGAATTTTTTGATAGTACGCTATCAACTTAACAGCTAAGAGCCATAAATCAAGAATAAATTTAAATATCATCGGTTTATTGCAAAGAGTCACCACTATGTACATTTTGATAGAGCTGAACTTTTAAGAACATTTTAAAAGTGTCGACATTATTCATCGATGGAAAAACACAAGGAATGCACCAAAATTACAGAAACAAATGCACAATATCCTGATTTAGCATAGAGGAAATTCATCAATGTTGATAACGATTTAAGGTTATGAAATGTCGCTGAATGAGTTTTTGTAATAAACCC